CTCTCTTGACAATTTTCCCAGGTACCAAAGTAGAGGGAGGGTGGCTCACGCTGTCCCGAAGGCGTTGCTCTGCTGCTTCCAGCTTTCAGTGCTGGAGTCCGTCATTCCGGTTTCTGGTCCTTCGTGAAGTGTCCTGTCCTTGGATATTTCGTGTGCTTTAGAGCAACGGTCCCCAACCTTTTTGGCGCCAGGGACCGGTGCTTCTATGAGCATCTAACGCCTGGCGACCTGAGGCGGAGCTGAGGCGGTGATGCCGGCGCTGGGGACTCAGACACAGATGAGGCTTCGCTCACTCGCCCACCGCTCACCTCCTGCTGCGCGGCCCGGTTCCTAACAGGCCACGGACCGGTACTGGTCCACGGCCTGGGGGTCGGGGACTCCTGCTTTAGAGCTTTAAACAGCTCTATCACCATTCTAAGTATATTCAGGTTTCTTCGGGTTTTTTATTTGTACCTGATTGATGAAAAAAGCATTTCAATGGAGGGGGCACATGGCTTTCAACGGGGGGAAAGTTCTGGTTTCTGACTCACCCCCCTCAGCGTTATTCTTCCGAGTTCTTATTTGGCTATTGAACCGCCTAGGTAAGTGCTATTTTTTTCACCCTTTGTGTATCTTCGGGTCCCTAGTTCTTCTAAGTCTTCTTTAAAAAATTCGTTCTCAATCATACTTTTTCGTCCTGCCCTTTTTCGATAATGCCCGACTATCATTTAGATATACTCTCCAAAGCATAAGAGTGACGACAGTTTTCACTTCCTTATGGGATTTATTCATGAAAGTCAAGATGCTGTGATAAGATAGACCATAAAGGAACATAGGACTTGCCGCAGCCTAAGACCAAAGGGCTTCCTCAAGACGAGCTCCAGGCCCCGGGCGCGTTTCCGCGTGAAATGCCCCTTGACCCCCATGATTTTTGTTTCGTTTCAGAATGTGAGTCATTGAGACTTATAGAAAAATTGTATATTAAGACTTTTCGTTCAAGTCTTGCTTATCCTGCCTTTTCTTCTCAGACCGTTTTTTCTTCAGTTACTATTCAAATATCCATCTCGTCCATTCGCGTGAGAGGTAGTAAAAGCCAGGGAGAAGGAAGCTCTGTGTGGAGTGGGCCCCGAAGCTCTGATTTTGTGACACAGTCGCCAGTGCTCACGTCTCTTCCCCGTTTCAGTGGAGCGACACAGCTGTCTTCCTGGGGGCGGAACACCCCTCAGCTCCAAGGATCTGCAGTCCCGGGTCAACCAGCCCATCGCCAGGATGGAAGCGGGTAAATCTGGTCACGTGACAAAGCCGTCAGGTGTTTAACAGCTTCTGATGACTGTTTTACTTTCTTATGGAGTCGGCACATGCACGCAGCGAAGCACGTCAGGTAACGCGACGTGTTTATGCGAGTGCCTGTCTGACCACCTCGCTGATGAGAGACGGGACGCGTGAAGCGCCCCCAAAAGCTGCTTCTCTTCTGTTCCCGGTCAACCTGGTCAACCTCTTCTGGACGTGAGACCGTCTGAGTTCTCACCACAGGTTAGTTCTGCTCGCTCTTGAACGTCATGTACATGGAATCGCGTGTGCTCGTCCGTGCTGGGCCTCCGATCCAGTATGTGAGATCTATCTATACTGCATGTCAATAGTTCTTTTATGTCTTATATTACGTTAAGAATATTCTCATAGAACGGGCATTTCAGTGTCCACTTTGGAGCTATTAGTAATAAAGCCGCTGTGAGCACCGGCGGCCAGCCCTCCTCCTAGTACACAACGTCCTCTGTCATCTCCCCCTTTGGATGGAACTGGCCATGTGACACAGAAGACAGCAAACGCGATGCTGCGGCTGGGCACAGGTTACAGAAGGCTGCAAGCCTGGGCCCTTGAGTCGCCTGCTATGGAGAAGCCAGCTGTTACGCCACCGCCCCCGTAAGGAGGTGAAGCAGCCCTGCGGAGCGGGGCTCAGCCCCCAGCCCACAGCTGAGCGAGTCCGCTTGGGGGCGGATCCTCGGGCCCTGATCCATAATTTATTACAACCGCATGACAGACCCTGAACTAGCACCATCCCCGGGACCCCTTCTGAACACCTGCTCTGCCACGACCATGAGAAGAACGATGATCGTTGTTGTAAGCCACTACACTCGGGGTGATTTGTTCTCATTGTTTAAAAATGGATTAGTCTCTTAAACAACAAAAAGTATAGTTGCAAACGGTTGTTAAAATGCTGGCTTCTGGAACTGCCCGTGCATTCACCTTCGCGGAGCTCTTTATTTCTCCACGGGGCTCCGCGTTGCTGTCCAGTGCCCCTTCGCCCTGCGGAACTCCCTCGAGCACACCTTGCAGACCCACAGTAACAAACTCCCCAGCTGTTGCGCATCTGGAATGTCTCAATTCTCACTCTCGAAGGACAGCGTTTTGCATTCTTAATCTACCAGGCCACTGCCTCCGGCCTCCACGGTTTCTGATGAGAATCTGCTAATGACCTTGAGAATCCTTTGTGGTGAGTTGCTTCTCCTTTGAGATTCTCTTTGTCTTTGGCTTTGAGACTTTGATTATAATAAGTCTTACTGTGGTTTCCTTTGAGTTTTTTCTACGCGGAGGTCATTGAGCTTCTTCAATGTTTGTATTCGTGTATTTCATCAACTATGGGAAGTTTTCAGCCATGACGTCTCCGATGCCCGCCCGCCCTGTGTCTCACGCTGCTCCTCCTGGAGCTCCCGCGTGACTATGTTGTCACTCGCTGATTTCCCACAGGTCCCTCAGGCGCTATCCGCTTTCCTTCATTCTTTTCATTCTGTTCTGCAGACCCAGTAATTCTCGTCCTATCTTCATTTTTGCTGATTATGTTACCTGCTCAGATCTGCAGGAGAATTGCTTTTTAGGTTTTCCGCATCTTTCCTGACATCCCGTTTTTTCGTGCAAGCCGTCCTGCTGTCCCCGTCTCACAGGCAAGTGGCAGGACCCGAATCCAGATCCGGACAGTCTGCTTGAGCCCAAGGTCCCGCCCATCGCTCCTCCTCGCCCTGGCGATGGAGTCTGCATTAGTTCACCTCTGCAGCGCCCATCGCCTTGGGACTTCCTGGTCGCTTCGTTACCTGAGGGGACACAAGCCCTTATCAGATGGCATGAGCTGTCGTGTCGTGACGTGACAAAGTGAAATCACGCATCTTAGCCTAAAAAGAATTCAAAACAAAAATGACAACAAAAGCCTCTCTCCACCTTGTCCGGAAAGCGATTTAAGGTAACTGAATTTCAGCACATAGCGCGCCGGGGGCAGAATTCAGGTGACCTTCTCTTCTTCAGCCCTCTGCACTTGCTAACTGCTTCCTAGGTGCCTGCGCGGGCAGCGGAGAGCATCCGGTAACCGGCGTCTTCACAGGGGCCTGTGATCCCCCCAGTGCACCAGGCACTTCTGTCCCCGTGCCCACGCGGTTCCCAGGTCTTGTCCAAGCAGCGCACAACGCGTGGTCACACCTCAAGGCCTTCGCATGTGCTCTCCTCGCCACCCCAAGCTGCTTTTCCTGTAGACCCGCCTGGCCCCTCCCTCCATTCTCGGTTCTGCTCAGCATCATGGGGGGATTGTTTTTAAAGAAACAATAGGTAACTAACAGACGTTCCTTAATTTTGCGTGTGTGGAAGCGTCCTGTCTTGGATATTGAGGAGAATTGCTCAGTCACAGGGCGAGTGTATGGTTAACCTCCGAAGCAATTGCCAAGCTGCCTCCCAGCGTGTTACTACTTTTACATCCACGCTGGCTATGCGAGAGCTCGAGCCGTCCCAAACCCCCTAAGGACAGACACCTGTTGTCAGAGGTGAGACCTCCCGCAGCCCGGAGTCAGCTCCCCCTCCTCCCATTACACCAGTTGTCCTCTGTCCCCTCTGCCACCGCTCCGGCTTCTGACACTGCCTGTGTTCGTAACTGCGTTCTCCTGCTCAGAGCCGGCAAGCCGGGGCCGGTCGCTGCCACGTCTAGTCGGCCACTAGAAGGGAGTTTCAAAATAAGCCAATGGAATATCCTAGAATTCATAAAAACTATAAGATTGGGAGACAAAAATGAATGTTTTCATAGCCAATAAGGATGAAGATCGCTGGTCACCAACCACGGAGGGGTCTAAGAGGCATCACGATTCCCTCGTTCTGTCACTTTCCAGGGAAACAATTTTATCTTCGAGCAAAACTAGGACAACCCAGAGCCGTGGACTGAAACGGCATCGTAACGTCAGCCACTGCACTGACACGTTTGCTCCGGGGAATCGTCATGTTCGACAGAAATCTCCCTCTGGATAAGGCAGTGGAATGGGGGGGCCGTCTCTTAACATCCGACAGGAAACTCACTCGCCTGGTCTGGGAACTGGAGGAACAGTCGGAAGCCGGCAGCTGAACTTGAAACCGCAGCGGCCATCCAAGAGGAGGCCGGTCTTTGGGACAGAGAATGCCAGCCCCCGCCACCCCCACCTCCACCCAGTGTTCAGACCAGGACCTGGCTATGTCGGCTGGCGAAACATTCACTCGCTACAGATTCCACTTACCTCTCACGTCTGAAACAGAGACCAGCTAAATCCCTGCCATCTTCCTGGCTTTAAACTCTCGGCTCTGACAGTATTCTCGACCTCCTTCCTTCACTGTCCCTTCGTCCTGATTCCCGGTTCGCCCTTGGAATTCTACTTTCCCGGCTCCCCGCTCGGAATTTCCATGCTGTGAGCTGGAGATGCGCCTTTGCGTCTTATACCACAGCACGCCTCCGCCTCCCGCGAGCTAAAGCCAGCTTTCAGCTGATAAAAGTCCGAGCACACCTCACTGCGATGGCCGCAGGCTGGGGGGAGGGGCAGAAACTAGGTAGATCTGCCACTCACAACCTGTCCTTTGTCCACTTTGTCCAAGAAATGTTCCTCTTCCGCCTTTGCTAACACGAAGGGGACTGAAGACATCGCTCCGGAGAACACCCCCCAGGATGACCCAGCACCTCCAAGTGGCTCAGCCAGGTGACAAGAAATGGCAAACCGAAGTCTCACTTCAAGCAAAGGGCTGACCGAAGATAATTTATGGTGGCAAAATAAACATCAGGCTTCGATGAGATGAGATGAAATGAATTCTACTCACCCGAGTTTGTCTTCCAGTCTCCGTGTGGGAGTAGAGCCTGGCCGGACAGAGCCCCCGCTTCCCGTCTCCCAGGGGTCCATCCTCTGGGCCTGATCAGTGAGTTTCGCGTCGGGACGTGAGCACCTGCTCCCAGAGCACCGAAGCCGCGATGCGCGCCTGACCGTGGAGACGCCCACCTGCCCACCAGCCTCCACGTCCTCGTGGTGACACAGCTGCAGCCAAACGTGGTCTGAGACTGCCCGGCGGCGACTGGGAACGCAGCTCCTGCTGCCCGTCACCTTCACGGCTGGTGCCGCTGCTCAGGCCTTGTCGAAGTCAGACTTTCATCCTAAAAACCCCCTCGTTCTTGTCCGGGATGAAGGGCCTGGAGCAAAGGGAGCCTGTGCCGAGAGAGACTCTCACCGAGCGGTGACACGCTCAAGCAGACTCCAAGGAGCCCAGAACACTCCCAGAGAAGGGCTGGATTTTCACAATCCGACTCCCCACAGATTGCAGAGAGGAAGAAAGCTTCGCGTTAATGAAAATTCTCCCTTTGCACAAATTTCGGTGTCTGTTTTTTGACAATTAGGAAACCCACAGACTTCAGATTTCTGATTAAAACACACACACAGCATTTCTCCCCTTGGGGAGAAGCACTCGACGAAGGCGTAAAAATGCCGCGAGGAAACCTCACGGATCCAGTGGCAGCCGTCATCCTCTTCCCTTCACGAAGCCAGGCTTTGGTTCTCATAACGTAGCAGCTGAGAGAGAGAACTCACATGCCACACGAGTCACCGGTTCAAAGTGTGCACGTCAGTGCTTTTTAGTATATTAGAGGGCTACCAACATCATGCCACTTCTTACAACATTTTCCTGAGCCTGAGAGAAACCGCCTTAAAAGTCATTCCCCATTCCCTCCCCCTTCAGCCCCTGACACCCACTAACCTACTGTCTCTCTATAGATTTGCCTATTCTGGAAAATCTCATATAAATAAAATCGTGCCATATGTGACCTTCTGTGACTGGCTTCTTTCACTAAAAGAATGTTTCCAAGTTCAAGTTCACTCACGTTGGAGCGCGTGTCAGTGCTTCGTTCCGTGGTACGGCCGGGGAACATTCCGTTGCTCCGTTTCGTGCATCCATTTATCCAATGATGTGCACGTGAGTCATTTCCATGTTGGGCTCTTGGGAATAACAGTGCTGTGAACATTAATTGGCGTATAGTGTGGACATGTGTTTTTATTTCTCTTGGATCTATACCCAGGAGTGGAATGGCTGGGTCAGATGGTAACTCCAAGTTCAACATTTTGAGGAACCTCGTAACTGTTTTCCAAAGTGGCCGCCCCGTTTTACCTTCCCACCAGCAGGGGCTGATCGGCCAGCTTCTCCACATCCTTGTGCAAACTCACAGTTTTCTCGTGTAGGTCTTTGTATTTCCTGCTGTATAGTCCTCTGTGGCATTCATTTCTAATTTTATTTATGTGAATCTTGTCTTTCTTTTGCGAGTCTAGCCAGGGGGTTGTGAATTTTATTAATATTTTTAAAGAGCCAGCTCTTTGTCGCATTAATTTTTTCTCATCTTTTTTTTTTCCTCTATTTTGTTTAATTCCGCTCTAATGTTTATTATTTCCTTCTGCTGACTTTGGGTTTCATTTGTTTGTTTTGTTTTTCTAGGTCTTCAAGGTGAAACGTCAGGTTGTTTATGTGAGGTTTTCCTTGTTTCTTGACGTGGGTCTGTAATGCTGTAAAGTCCCTCTCGTCACCGCTTTTGCCGTGTCCCAGAAGTTTCGCTAAGTCGCATTGTCATCCTCGTTTGTCTCTCTGTGTCTTTCGATCTCCTTTATTTCTTCTTTGACCCGGTCTTGGTTTAACAATCAAGCGCGTTGTTTAATCTCCACGTATCTGTGGTTTTTCCCTCTTCCTCTTTGCAGTCGATTTCCAGTTTCAAAGCATGTCGATCGGAGATCATGTTTGCTACGATTTCAATCTTCTGAAATCTTTTTAAGCGGATCTTGTGTCCCAACATGTGGTCCACCCTCAAGAATGATCCCCGTGCACTAGGGAAGAGTGTATAACTTAGTGTTCTGGGATAAAATGCTCTGTAAGCGTTGATTATGTCCATTGGACTAATGTGTTATTTAAAGCCGATATTACCTTATCGATTTTCTGTTTGGATCATCTATCTATAGCTGTCAATGGGTGTCAGGTCCCCTACTATGACTGTATTTTTGTCGCCTTCTCCTTTTTTGTTTGGTAGTTGTTTTATACGTTTTGGGGCTCCCGGGCTGGGCGCGTGTGTATTCAGTGTGTGGTGCTCCCGGGCTGGGCGCGTGTGTATTGAGTGTGTGGGGCTCCCGGGCTGGGCGCGTGTGTATTCAGTGTGTGATGCTCCCGGGCTGGGCGCGTGTGTATTCAGTGTGTCTTCTTGACGTATTGTCTCCTTTGTGTCCATCTTCGTGTTACCTTTTTTATCTTAAAACCTATTTCGTCAGATATGAGTTTGGCCGCTTTTCCCTGGATGCTGTTTGCTTGGAGAATCATTTTCACCCCTTTGCTGTGAGTCTTTGCACTAATTATCCCTCTGTCTCATACTGCGAAGTAACCCTGAAAACAATGTTAGATGTAAAAAGTACTAAGACAATAAAAGGTCCTATAATGCCACCAATAAAAATACTAAAGATATGAACAAACTAGAAATATTCAAACCATATAGAAAAGTACAAATAAAAAGATCAAAACTTCCATCCCCCGGCCCAGTCACGCCTCCTAAAATAACGACCTCGGTGGCGTTGTGCACGTCGGTCCAGAAACAAGCCCTGTGTGCGTCTCCTTCCGCTACACAAAAGCGACAACCCTCGTTGTGCTCTGTGTCTGGTGCCGCTGTGGTTTTCCTCCGTGTCATTGTGTTGGCCTCTCATCCAGAGGCCTGAAGCATAAGGCATAAGGTCAGTTGGCTCAGGATGATCGGAGGCCTGTCGTTAACGCGAAGTATTTCTTAGAGTCCTAACGGCGCCTCTGCCCGCTTCGTGTTCCTGGCGGGCCCGGTAAAGCACTCTGCAAACAGAACTCATCTTGATGAGGTGACTTTTCTTCAATCCTGACTTACTGGCTGCGCTCCCCAAAGTGGATCCCGGGGGGGAAGCCTGAGCCGAGACCCCCAGTGGGTTACGAGCCTGGCGAGTCTGCGTTAGGCGTTAGATCAGGCACACGCCCTTGACGATGCTCTGACACTACATCCTGTCTCCTGTGATGGTTTATACCCGGGAGCACGCTGTCACCCAGGGGCCACAGGCAGATGACAGGGAAGATCGCAAGTAAGTCCTCTCGTGAGGAAGGCCGGGGAGAAGCCTCCGTCAAGGGCACATTTAAATTCGATGAGTCAACGCTTTTGCAACCACCACGCAGACAAACCTGATTCGGTCTACTGGAGTGGCCCCTGCAAGGTGACACTGGAGCCCGAGACACTCCCAGGGGCCCGGTGCCCTTGGTGCGGGGCCAGTGGAGTCAACGTTCTGTGCTTCCTGCGAACGAGCCTGGTCCTGGTCTCACCCCACCGTCCGCATTTAAAGATTCCTAAGGTGTCATTTCAGCCTTCGTAAGGAAATCTTTGGTTCCTCTAAAACTATCTTCTTTTGGCCACAAAAGAAAAATTACATATGAAGACTCTGATAATTGAAATATGGGGGCACAACAAAAGCACTTTCCCTGCGGAGGTCCGATGAAGAAATAAACCATAACGTGTTGATGGGAAAGTGGACAGAGCACAAGAGCAGCGTTATTTACATATTTATTTCACGTTAATGATGCGCTAAGTAAAATTAAAAACAAAATGAGATGCAGAATTAATCAGAGTCTACCCTGGCGACCTTATCTAAGGGAAATGTTATTCTATGAAACAGATGGTGTTGGAAAGAAGAGATTAATCTGTGCACTTGAACCCCTGAAATAAATGTTCAGAAGGCAGAAAATAATAATTACCATATTTTAGCGCAGACAGCATGCCAGACACTGTGAGCCGGGTCCGTGGATTATTTTAGTTAATGCTCACGACAGCCTACGAAATGAGTAATGTACCTGCACCTTAAGAAAAGCGGTGTCTGAGTTTCGTAAAGTGGCCGCTACGTAACAGAACACAATGTACACACTGACCCTTCCATAAATATCCCTGAGTGACAGGTGTATAGGCGACGCATCCCCGGCTCCGCCACGGCTCCGGGCCGGCCGCCCCCACGGTCCTCCTCCAGCGCCGAGTCTGGAAAGTGCAGGAGATCGGACCCCGTTTCCCAGGACACGGGGCCACCCGCGCCAGCGCCCGGCTCCCGGCACTGAGGTCCCGGGACGTCCCAGCCTGTCTGGAGCCCGGGAAACAGAATCGGCACACGTGGATCCGCCTGGTCGTCCAAACTGGGACATGAAGTTTTCCGATTTCGAAGATTTTCTGATCCCGTGCCCTCCTCGCTGTGGCGACCCCTCCGTCCCTCCTCATTCTGGTGTTTGCCTTCATTTTCTCCGCTTTAGTTTGGAAAAAGCGAATCCGCGTTCCACTTAACGCTGTCGAACGTTTAAATGGAAACGAGCCTTGCACGGAACGTCTGCGGGGGCTCCCTGTCCCGCAGCTGCTCTCACGGGACGTGCAGATAGGCAGCGGGGCCTGGGTCTCTGAGCCCCTGGAGTCTGGGGAGCACCCCCAGCCCCTCTGCTGGTTAGTGTGCTCTGCATTCTCATGGGTCAACTCGGATGTCCAGACGGCCTGTGGCTCAAGTAGCTAATGAAAGACGATAATATTTTAACTTTTAATTTTCACAGTTCACGTCCTGCTATGACTTTGGGAATCCGAGCGATTTATCTCAAAAATAGTTCTTCTGTCACATGTCAGTCCCCAGAAGGACCTTCAAGACCACCAATTACCCCATAACCCCCTTTACCTAACCGTGTTTCTGTCCTTCCAGCCCCCAAGCCTTCACCGTCCCTGTTAAGTCACTTGCTGTGAACGTCACCCAGGACCCGTGCTCTGACTGGAGCGCATGCTCCCTTCCTCCCTTCGATCCCCTTTTAAAAATTTATTCTCCCCATAAAGCTTCAAAGGATGCTTTGAGAAGATGGAAAAGTCAAATGACAATATATGCTGGAAATAACGGTGAGAACTAAGTAGGATGATGTATTTAATGAGCTTATCGCGGCTCACCTGCGATGTACACAAAAAAACGGCAGATGCTCAACATTGCCATCATCACGATGATTACTGCCGTTATCACCGTAGGATGCCATCGAATGTACACTGATTTGCAGCGCAGAACGAAGCCCGCACCCTCCAGAAAATGAGCAAAATTAATGAGCTACCCAGGACGCCTCCTCCTTCCAGGCACAAGTACCTTTTTAATCAGGTGTCTCCCAACCGCACACACCCGCGTTCTCAGGTGAGGCTGAGCCCTCCCCACACTGGGGTCTAAGAGTGACCCACCCCTCGTTGACAGCCCGTTCTGGAGTGACCGTGCCGACACGCCCAGGCTCTGACGCTGGAGGACGCCTGCCCAGGGACTTCGGGAAAATCTCGCTCCTAAGAGACAGTTATTGGGAGACTCTTCTTCCTCCAGGTCCTTGCCGTGCGTGGCGGTGACATCCGGAACTATGGTGGCCTGTGTGCTTTGTGCCTGCGTTTAAAGGCAGTGCCCCATGTGACAGGGGGAAGGTCTGAAGAAAGACTTGCTGAGCCACTACTTACATGTGGTAATAAATTTCCTTACAATTTAAGCCCAGTACCCGTAAGAGATGCCACAGCCGTTAAACATATAACACAGCGACAAAAGTAGCCAAACTTGCTAAATATGGTTTGCTGCCTCCTACAGAAAATAAAATAATCATAGTCAAGCAAACTCTTACTTATCTACCCGCAGGTCTCTGTTGAGTTTACCACGAGAGGCTCAGACGGCTTTGGTCCCCCGACCTGGTTCTTTCCTTGGCAAGAATGAGGGGCATGCCCCCCTCACGGGGACAGAAGTAAAGTCCGGTGTTTGAGGATGTTTCTTGACCATTCTCTCTGCTTCGGGCGCCACATGAGGGAGGTGCTGAGGGTCGGAGCTCGGCCCGGAGAAGAACTTTCCGACACGCTGGTGCCAAGGGAGAGACAGGAGGGGTGTTGCTCATGCACTGAAGTGGGGGGAGCCCTTAGATTGGTGAGCGGCTGGGGCGAGAGGGACAGAGAGGGGGCGGGAGCTGAGAAGGAAAATAAACAGGGCATTTCCAGAAGAAAAAGCGTGAACACGTCAGAGAGACAGGACGAACGAACGGCCTGATGTGTCCAGCAGATGCCAAGGGACGCCATAAAGCTGTCGGCCTGGGACCACTGTGAAGACGGCAGGACGAAGCAGAGTTGAAAGAAAACCATTTATACCACTGAATTTAGTATATGAAAAAGGCAGCGTTTCTCATCATCGCGGAGATAATGATGAGTTTCGCTTTTTATTCTATGTATCACTATATTGTTTGAATTCTTCGCAACATAGTCATGTGTTACTTATAATGTTTAGTGGAAACAGTAATCATCTCTGGCCTTTCGTGACTGTCAAAGTAGACGCATACTTTGAACATTTTAGAAAACAGAGTAAAAAGATAATTGACATTATCCTTGGGAAAATACTCTTTCAAACTTCTTACACATTTTTTCTTCTTACCAAAACAAAATTATACTTTATGTCCTTGTGTTTCTTTTTTCTTTTTTCTTTTTTGTTTGTTTCTTACCAATTGTGGTGGCTTTAAAATATTTTTGCAAGTTCTTTGACACTCCTCCCTCCACGAGGTGGAGCCTGGTCCCTTCCCTGAATGTGGGCCGGGCGTAGTGGCTTCTAGCCAACAGAGGCCGTGGAAAGTGCCAGGGTCCGACACAGCCCCAGCTCATCCCAGAGGGCACCGAGAATGTGCCTCAGGTGAGTTCAGCCCCCGGCCCTCCAGTGTTCTAGGGGAGACCCCGGACATTTGAGGAGCGAGATGAGCCATCTCTGCTGTGCTCCGTCTGAACCTCTGACCTGCAGAAACTGTGACGGTTAATAAATGATTATTATTGTTTTAAGCCACTAAGTTTTAGGCTAGGTTGTACAGCAATAGATTAAAATTACACTAACATGTCATGGACACCTTAACGTTGAGGTGTGTGAACCTGCATCGGCATTAAACGGTATGGAGAACCAACTTCAGCCAGTCTGGTCCTGTACGAACCGTGAGTTCTTTTGGGTGGGTGATGGCAGCCACAGAAAAATCGAGGTGACTGAGAGTTAGCTTCTCCCTCACGAATGAAAGCGGGGCTCAGACCACACATGCGCACACACGCGCACACACGCACACACACGCACACACACGCACATACACGCACACACACGCACACACACGCACACACACGCACACGTACACACGCACACACACGCACAGCCAATCAGGCCACCAGTTCCGTAAGCAAGGTGAAAACTCAGCTCTGTCCTTTACCATCTTGCATAAAAGCTTCAGTCAAGCAACACGGAACATTCTAGAATCAGGCAACCAGGCAACCAGAATCCAGACCCAGTCAGATGCTGTTTAAAGACTCGCCTGAAGTGAAGCTGGCAACTGGATCTGGGGGACCGAGCCCCAGGTGTCGTCGCTAAAGGCATGGGCCACACCAGGTGTCGTCGCTAAAGGCATGGGCCACACCAGGTGTCGTCGCTAAGGGCGTGGGCCACAGGCTGTGCTGAATCCTTATTCTTGTTTGGGTCGGCTCAAGGAATGTCTCCGATGTTTACTCGACCGTGATCTTCAGTCCCACGGCGACCAGCGGGCGCATCTGTAATGGTCGTCATGGCAATTACTCGTCTGGGGTTTAGGAGGCGTGGGAGAGGGGACGATGGGAGAAGGCCCCACACGGGGCCCAGAGCACAGCGACCACAATGGCGCTGGACCCTGGAGGCAGCGGCCGCCCGCGAGCTCCGCCTGCTCGGAGCAGGGAGCTGGGCGACACCCCGCCCCAGATCCCGAGGCGGAGGCGGTGAGGAGTGGACGCCCCCCTCCCACGACAGGGCGCAGGCGATGACCCCCCTGGCGGCCCGGAGACTGTGGCCGCTTCCCAGGCAGCTCGCATGTGACTCAGAGGCAGCATTTCTATACCTTACCAGCGCAACAAAAGTAGTTTAGGGTCTAAACTTAACTGGGCCAAGTCCTAGAGGGCAGGAAGGTGTTGTGTCCACTGATCACTTCACGGCCGATCGTGCGTTAGGAGGGCGGGAGGACAGTCACGCGGACCAGATGCGGAGGCGCGGGCACCGGAAGCCAGGTCCGGGGCTCCGGTTAGAGCCTCAGCCCTGGTGGCTGAGAGGAAGGGGTTTTCCTCGGGTCTTGGAGAAAACGTCTGCGTCCGTGAGTGGACACTGTGCGGGGCCCTCAGGACAAGCCGCAGAGACGCGGGCTTCTGGCCACGGGGAGTCCAGGCTTCTACGTTTCATCAGCTGATCTCTCGCTCTGAGGACGTTCTCAGGAAGAGAGCAGGACATGGGACAACGTGGCAGGAGACCCGCCTGAGAAGAGTCAGTCTAAATAAAGCCTTAAAAGGACCCTTGAACTGCGTTATAATTTCTGGAGGAAACAGACCCGTGGTCTTGGCTGTTTCTAATTCTAGACAATGGAAATTTGGGCAGAGTTGGCTTCCCGGTGGCAGGTGGAGCATGACAGGGCCGAAGAAAGAGGGGGTGTCCGCCCAGAGAAGGTTCCGGCGAAGCAGGCGAGTGTATGTGCGCTGAACACAGAATCCCGGAGCTGGCCCAGAAACTGCGGAGGAGGTCGCAAGCCTGGTCATCCTTAGAATGGGGAACAAAGACAGAGGATAAAGTATCGAGCGAGGAATAGGCAAGGTCAAGTCGTTAACTGAAAGGCAGTTTAGGACTTTACTTCAGAGGACGCTGCACCGTGCTCACGAGGAGGTTCTGCTGGACGCACGTTCGTGGGGATGAGGGGGTTAACTGCAGATGCACTTGGCTGGAGCTCAATAAAAATGATTAAGGATAAAAAAGAGAAAACCATGATTTTATTGTCCTCCAGCAATGACTGTGAAGTTTAACATTTGCAGTTCTGGAATTAGAGACACGACAGAAAGTCCAGCTTCACAATAACAGAAAAAATAAAATTGGGAAGCAGGAGAGAGAGAGAGAGAGAGAGAGGCAGGCAGTCTCCATGTAAAGCCAGCCTGAGAATATAAGAGAGAGAGAGAGAGAGAGAGAGGCAGGCAGGCAGTTTCCATGTAAAGCCAGCCTGCCAACATGTTTATTAAGTGATCAACTTCTTTCTTGAAATTCTCATCAAGAGGATTAAAACAATAAATTTTAAAATACGTAAAATGCTTTGTAATCGACTGGGGAACATGAGGTGGAGGGTGACTGCAAATCACACGGAAGACAGATCACGGCGAAGCAGTACGGGGGAAACCAGAGGGTGTCAGCTTCCTGTAAGCCCTTAAAATGATGAACAGAAAGAGCCGTAAGTTTTCTTTTAAGTGCCAAAGGAAAGCGTCACCTTGAGACATACACAATTTATTATAATGCATTGTCAAGATCGCTACAATGTAATCAGAAACCCTTAGTTCAATGTCGCAGCCTTTTAAACTACTGAGACGACCGAAAATGCCAATGGAATATAATGCAGTGGATGCCCCAACGCTCGAAGCGTGAATACAGACTGTACGAATGTGACAAAGGCTAAGAGTTCCTGACCATCATTCAGGGACATGGGGCTGCTGGCTGCTGGGTCTCATTTAATTCCCAGGACAATGCCGTGAGGTTAGACACTGTAGTGCTCATTCTGCAGAGGAGAAAACGGACTCTAACACGTTAGGAAATGTGCTGTGTTCAGTTTCGTCCACCCCGTGTGCGTGGTACTGAGCCTCGTGACTGGCTAACGAAAGACAACGAGTAACAATCCACTGAATGAATGAGTGAGTGAGTGAACGAGTGAATGAGTGAAGGGCGAAGGCGGAGT